ATATATAAAAAGGGCTTCATAATGTTGAAAGAAATTCTAACTTCTGACAATTATTGGCGAAGATACATCCGTTTGAATTTGGAAACAGAAACTTAAAACGTCAATTTCTCGAAACGACTTCGCGACTACATATTTTCAGCTTTTGATGCAGAGTCAATATATATAAAAAGGGCTTCATAATGTTGAAAGAAATTCTAACTTCTGACAATTATTGGCGAAGATACATCCGTTTGAATTTGGAAACAGAAACTTAAACCGCCCATATCTCAATTTCTCGAAACGACTTCGCGACTACATATTTTCAGCTTTTGATGCAGAGTCAAAATATATAAAAAGGGCTTCATAATGTTGAAAGAAATTCTAACTTCTGACAATTATTGGCGAAGATACATCCGTTTGAATTTGGAAACAGAAACTTAAAACGTCAATTTCTCGAAATGACTTCGCGACTACATATTTTCAGCTTTTGATGCAGAGTCAAAATATATAAAAAGGGCTTCATAATGTTGAAAGAAATTCTGACTTCTGACAATTATTGGCGGAGATACGTCCGTTTGAATTTGGGAAAATAAACTTAAAACGCCAATATCTCGAAATGACTTCGAGACTACATATTTTCAGCTTTTGATGCAGAATCAAAATATATAAAAAGGGCTTCATAATGTTGAAAGAAATTCTAACTTCTGACAATTATTGGCGAAGATACATCCGTTTGAATTTGGAAACAGAAACTTAAAACGTCCATTTCTCGAAATGACTTCGAGACTACATATTTTCAGCTTTTGATGCAGAGTCAAAATATATAAAAAGGGCTTCATAATGTTGAAAGAAATTCTAACTTCTGACAATTATTGGCGAAGATACATTGTAACGAACCTATTTGCTAGGTGGTGTTTTAGCTAGGCTAAAACTCAGTCGAGCTGTGGGTTCGAGCAACAAATTTATATTGCGTTTGCAACAATTAACAACACAGCATCAATATATTAAACTCACTTTATTTATTTCACTTTTATTGCTTGATATTACCAATCACAGTTGGTCTTCTTATTATTCTTTATCTTATCGCTACTTATTGCTAGCTCCGTAGCGTCTCACCACGCCTCGGTATCCTTGATCAGGTGTGACTCGAGCTCCTGTGCGCCAGAATCTGCCCTAGGCCCTCCGCCACCAGCTATGCAAGCCCAGGTTCTCAGTCTGGGCGCCAGAGATTCCGTACAGCACTTCTGACGTTCACCAGGATTAACGGCTTCCTTGCTTCTCAAGGATTGCGCCGAGTCCTTTTGTGAGTCAGGATCCGCGTGTCTCACTCTCTGGCTAATCACAGACCAAGCCTCGCTTGCTTCACTTGGTTCCTTGCGGATATCGCCTGTTGCCACAATTCAAGCGTGGCAAGGATATACGGCTCGCACCTAATTTCAGGACCTCGATGTCCTGTGATCCTTGTTGAGTTTGACACTCCGTGTCCTTGCACTTTCACTGGTGTTCTGGCTTTCACTCGCACATATATTCGCTCCGTGTATATGCGCGCAGCCTCTCTTGCTTTATTTGTACAGCTTGTTCACTTCACAGCGTGTTCACTTTCTCGCGTATTTAATCAAACAGCCCCGCCTTATGCGGCGGCGCTCCTTTTATAGGCCGTGGCTGGCCACCTTTTGCCGGGACTGTACCTCGGTGGCGTGATCTTTGGTGGCGTGATCTTTTGGTGGCGTGATTTTCTGGTACTTTTCCACTGCCCTTTTGCTGGCGCCAGCCATTGTCTGCCGTCAGTGTGAGTATGGACAACAGTATTGTTCTCGCAATACTCTTCCCACACTAACGGCACATGTCCTGATGGACATGTGTGTCAGACACGTTCAAACGGCTGAACGCCCGCGTTAGAAAGGGAGAGGGCGAAAGAGAGCGAATTCGCCGCAACTGCATCAGGGCCGGTTTTCGGTCTGAATGGACAGTTGTTGTGAGGGCGCATATAACATGCTTACGGGCATTTTGTATGCCCATCCGTGAACATACATATATATATATGTTTATAATCACAAACATACACATATATGCATGCTCACAAGTGCATGCTTCTATGGCTCCTCACACTCCCCTCTTTCTTCGGCAGCGGAAAGCTTCCGCTCTCCAACCTAAGGAGAGACAACGGCCTACAAATGTAAATAGAGAATATATACTGTTTGAAGGGGTTATGTTTGTTTTATTGTGTATGCAACTAATAATTCTAATTTTTTTTTTTTTATTTTATTTTTTTTTTTTTTTTTTTATATTTTTTTTTCTTTTATTAATGCCGCTCGACCTTGCGGAAGACGCGCGTGCCCCGCATCGAGGTCTTCACTCGATAGCGGTGCCCCTCCTGCCACACGATCCTGGACGCCCGCCGGCTTGGTCCCGGCTGGGCATCGGCCATCGCCGTGATGCCAGGTGGCCAAGCCGGCGGTGGCAGCTCCTGCCATCCAGCCTCTCCTTCCGGAGCCGAGCTTTGTCGCTGGAGCGTCGGTCGGGTGGGTCGGGGTCCCGCCTCGGGGCACGACGTCTGGCGCAGGAAGGGCGGTCTCCACTCCGGCGGTGGGGGTGGTGGCGATCTCGCGGCGGGCGGTGTTGGGCTCCGTTGTCGCTGCGGGGGGTTAGGGCCTGCGGGGGGGTGTTCTTCCTCTAGCTGCCAGGTGGGTGGCACCCCCGCCTCCTCCTCCCAGACGCACACCAGCGTCACTTGGTGCCTCCAGCGGCCGTCCGCGAAGGCCCTCGCGTAGGTGGCGGTCACGGTGGGTGGCGGGATTTGCGGGCGTTCACCCTGCCCCTGCGCCTCTCCTCCATCGGGCTGCTCTTCCTCCTCCTCTTCGTCCGAGATCACGATCACCTCCGGCTCCGGCGTCACCGGTGGCCACGGCATCGTCTCCTCGTCGTCCGAGACCACCGGAGACGGTGATGACCACCGCTCCTCGCCAGTGTCCTCCTCCTCGTCTGAGATCGTGATCACCTCCGGCTCCGGCGTCTCTTGTGGCCACGGCATCGCCTCCTCGTCGTCCGAGATCGCCGGAGACGTCGATGCCCGCCACTCCTCGTCGTCCTCCGACGATGTGAGCATGCGCTCCTCTTCGTCGGTGGTGTCGGCCTCCGGTGTCGGGGGCAGTTCCGGGTACTGCCAACGGAGCCATTCCGGATTGACCTCGTCCATTTCGCTAGGATAGCGTCGGCGTCGTGGCTGGGCCTCCTCGTTGGCTTCCGGGACTGCGTCCTCCACCGGATCTTCTCCCATGCTGGGGGCGTTTGGCGGCGATGCCCCTCCTTCCTCGTCGCTGGGGAGGTGTAGCGGCGACGCCAGCAGCTCGAGCTCGTCGCTCTGCCGGTTCCGCATCTCCTGCGCGATGCGACGCAGGACTCGGCGTCTCTCGACGCGCACCACGCGCACCACGCGCACTTCGCGCACCAGGCGTACTCCGCGTCCCACTGGGCGTCGCGGCCGGCGATCGCTAGCCGCGCGCGCACCCGGACCGGCTCCCTCATCGCACGGGACGCCAGCTTCGCTGGGCCGGCCAAAGGGATTTGGGTCCGAGGCGCGGCGGTGACCTGCTGCCGACACGCTGCTGTCCAGCATAGAATTTTGTTGAGCCTCCATTGTTGCGTTTTTATAATTTTCTTCCCTTTTTTTTTCCAAAGAAGCTGAGTGTGTGGCTGCTTCTGCCTTATATACCCTTTTGGGGCGTGTGCGTGTGGGTGTGTTGATCGCGATGCCCGAATTCTCTTTCGCAAAGCTCTAATCCATATTCTCACTATTCTAATGCACGCGCCTAAGCATTAGTATAAGAGCTGAACTTATCTTGAACTTCGGGCGTACGCCTGCGCAAAAAAAACCCTCTCTTTGGCCTTCGGGTACGCCTCTCACGCGTCTGTGCTAATATTGGTGACTAACCAACGGTGCCCTTTTCGTGCGCAAGCGCGCTGCTGATTAGTTTTCGGTGCGATTCACTCTTCGCTGCGCGTACATTTGCAATCGCTCCCACATTGTTATTGCATTTTTTTTTTTTTTTTTTTACGTGCAAGCGTGTTGCTAAGCAGAAGTTTTGGTGGCCGTTGGGCTTTAGCTCGTACGTTTGCGGTCGAGTGTAGGTCATGGTTACCCAAAAAAATCCCCCCCTTTGCCCTTCGGGTGTGCATCTCACGCGTCTGTGCTAATATTAGTGAGTAACCAACGGTGCATCGTGTACACGCATATGTCTAGTGTGGGTGAGTAACCAACGGTGCATGTGCTAAATTATTGTTGCCCTTTTGTGCGCAAACGCGCAGCTGGTTAATTTTCGGGTGCGTTGACCTTTTTCGCTGTGTGTGCCTGTCCGCTCGCTCAAATATTATCGTTGCACTTTGTGTGCAAGCGTGCTGCTGAGCGAACGTTTTAGGGGCCGTTGCTCTCTAGCATGTACGTTTGCGGTCGTTTGTAGGTCATGGTCATGCGCTCTCTTTGCATGTTCCATTTCCCTTGCGCGTACATATGCGCTCGCTCCCGCATTGTTGTTGCATTTTTGATTTGCAAGCGCGTTGCTGAGCAAAAGTTTTTGGCGGCCTTGCTTGTTTTTTTTTGCATTTTTAGGCCCGCCTTGGGGCACTGTTGTATTTACATCAATTCCAACATTATTCATACACATACTCGTATATATGTAGTTACACATTTTTTTTTTTTTTTTTATATTGAATTATTTTTATACCCGTTCCTCTGGGTTTTTATTGAATTATTTTTATACCCTTTCCTCTGGGTTTATATTGAATTATTTTTATACCCTTTCCTCTGGGTTTATATTGAATTATTTTTATACCCTTTCCTTTGGGTTTATATTGAATTATTTTTATACCCTTTCCTTTGGGCTTATATTTAATTATTTTTATATATATTTATAAATGTGTCATATATCTATAAGACCACATTTATTTTCCCCCTCTTATTATGTAGGGAAAGAAAAAAATGTGACCTACGGCGCTGTTATATTGATTGGAATTTTTGGCAATATTTATTGTTTTGATTTTTCAGGCTCACCCGTATCCTTCCGGTTGTTGTGGGGCTTCAGGTCGCTCACGTGTGCTGTCCTTATCCGCCTGTCCGTTATGCCCTTTATCTTGCATATTACGGGTGAGGTAAAATCCACAATTTGGTACGGGCCCCCGTATCTCGGTGCTAGCTTCGCCGCGAATCCTTCTGCCGCATTCGACAGGTGGTGTAACTTCACCCACACTCTGTCTCCGATGTTTGGTTTCCACGGTCTACGGCGCAGGTTGTAGTGCCTTGCTTGGTCCTGTGCTGCCTTTTCTAAACTCCGCCGGACAATTTCGAATACTTCCTTTAGTTTCTTTGCATTGTCGGACGGTGTTTGAGCTACTTGGCCTGTTCCGACTGTCACCTCGTCGAACAACGCCTTTGGCAGCCTAGGCTCTCGGCCTTGTGTTACGAACGCCGCGCTGTACCCGGTGGAGCTTGAGACGCTGGTGTTAACTGCCAGTGTCAGCTCGGGTAGAGCTTCATCCCAACGTCTTTGGTTGTCCTTGGTGAATTGTGCGATCATTGTCTTCACCGTGCGATTCGCGCGTTCCGTGGGGTTTTCTTGTGGAGTGTAGGGCGCTGTCAATTGATGTTTGATTCCCATCTCTTCAAGAAAATTTTTTAATGCCCGACTTGTAAATTGTGTTCCATTGTCGGTTATTAAAACTTTAGGTACTCCAAACCGCGCGAGAATCCTTTCCCTGAAGGCCTTTTGTAGAGTTGCTGTAGTGGCGCTTCGGAGTGGTACCATTTCCGTCCATTTCGAGAAGCGGTCTATAAAGACCAACAGCATTGTGTTTCCGTGGGTCGATCTCGGTAGTGGTCCCACGAAGTCAGCACAAACTGTGGTCCAGGGTTCCTCCGGTATCTTGGTCAGCATTTGTCCTGCCGCGGCCATTTGACTTGGCTTATACTGCTGACATATTTCGCATTGTTGGACATATGCACGTACGTCTCTGTATAAGCCTGGCCAATAGTAGCGTGCTGCTACTCGGGCTATTGTTTTTCTGCTGCATGTATGACCTGCGGTGGCGGTGTTGTGGTTTTCAATTAGTACCTGCCTTCTCTTTCCGGTGGGCACACATAGTTTCCAGGCTACCACATCCTCGGTTCCAGCTCTATTCGGGATGTGTCTATACAGATTGCGGATTATTGCAAGGCACTCTTTTTCGGTCGCAGAGTAGTTACGCTCCGCACCATTTAAAGATCTGCTTGCATACGATATGACCCGTTCGCCCTCCTCTGAGTCTTGGGTCAGTATCGCTCCCAAGCCATAATTACTAGCATCCGTCTGCAAGCAAAATGGCTTTGAGAAATCTGGGCATGCTAGCACAGGGGATTGTGTTAGCTTAGCTTTGACCTTTTCGAAAGCTTCTTGATGCTCTCCGGTCCATTCCCATTTTGTACCTTTCTTCAATAGTGTGTGTAGTGGGTGTACTGTTGTGGCAAAATCTGGTACGAACCTCCTGTACCATGATGCCACTCCTAGGTACTGTCGTAGTTCCTTTACGTTTCCAGGGGGTTTCAACTCGGCGATAGCAGCTATTTTCTCCGGATCCGTGCGTATCCCTTCTTCGGTCACCTGATGGCCAAGGTATTTAAGTTCCTTTTTGAAGAAGTCGCACTTGTCCACGTTGATCCTCAGATTCGCTGCTCTCAACCGTCGGAACACTTCTCTTAAGTTGTCCATGTGTTCCTCGCGTGTTTTCCCGATTACGATAATGTCGTCCAAATATGCAAACGCATGCGGCATCATTTCGGGTCCAATCACGCGATCGAGGGCCCTCTGGAACGTGGCTGGCGCCGAATGGAGTCCGAATGGCATTACTTTCCATTGGAACAGTCCTTTCCCTGGAACTGTGAATGCCGTCAACGCTCGACTCTCCTTCTCCATCGGGATCTGCCAGTATCCATCTTTCAGGTCCAAGCTCGTTATGTATTTTGCCTCTCTCAGCTGGTCCAGAATGTGGTGGACTCGCGGCAACGGATATGCATCTTTTATAGATTTGCTGTTTAGTTGCCGAAAGTCCACACAGAGACGCCATTTTCCCGTTTTCTTTTTCACCATCACGATTGGTGCGCTGTGTGGGCTTCTGGAGGGCTCGATGCACCCTTTGGTCAACAAGTCATCCACCTGTTTGTTGATCTCGGCTTGCATTTTGGGGTTTTTAGGGAAGTACCGCTGTTTAATTGGCCGGTCGTCGCTCATGACAATGCGGTCCTCAGTTATAGGCGATGTTCCTTTTATTTCTCCAAATGCCGCCAATTCTCCTCGCAAAAATTGATCAATCTTTGCGTCCGGATGTATTGGTGTTTCGACCGTTTTGGCAACCGACAACATCTCTTCTTGGTGGTTTGTCTCGCATTTTGGAATGTTTACTAGTAACCCTGCGCACTCCAAAACTGTTCCCATGCCAGACAAAAAGTCCCATCCGAGGACTAAGTCGTCGATGACTCCTGGGAGTATCAGTAGGGCAATATCCATATTCCTCAGCCCTAGTTTGATGTTCACCTCGACTTGTTCTCGGACTCCGCTGTTTCGGCCATCTGCCAACCGGACTCGACGTGTGGTTGCGCTTCGTCGGCCTACGTTGATCAGTCCATGAGCTAGCTTCTCGCTAACGAAGCTACTCGTGGCCCCTGTGTCAATCGTAGCCTTATACCGACAGTTGCCGATCTCTACGACCGCTGTCAGCTGCGCTCCCTCGTCCTGCAGGCTTCCGATTAGCGTCTTGGGGCTGACCTGTTCGGCTCCCGCTCGCCCCTCGGTGGCGGACGCCGGTGCTCGTTTCCCGACGGACAACATACTGACTTACGAACTCCGATACGTCCACATAACCAGCAATATTCCAGCATAGGATTCGTACACTCCATTGCGAAGTGTCCCTCCTGGCCGCAAAATCTGCATGCCCTCGCTGGGTTGCTTATATGTGTTTGTATGTTGTCTCGTCTCGTCCTCGGGGCAGGTCTGGGTCTCGTGTCGAATTCTGTCCGCTCCTGATACGCCTGGTTGTGTGTGTTTTGGTTGTCAGTCATTGCCATAAATCGTGGTCGATTACATCTCTGCGCGGATTCCCTGAGGCTGTATTGAGGAGCTTCCTGACGCATTTGTGGCGGCTCCATGCGGCGTCGTGGTGGTTCCATGGGTCTCGGTTGCTCCATGCGGCTCTGTCGTCTCAGCTTTTCCCTGTCCGCTTCGAGTTCCTCGAACGCTTCGGCCAAATGCATCAATTCTGCCAAATTATTGAATTGATATGGCCTGGCGTAAGCTCGTAGATCCGGGAGGCTGTTGTTGTATATTTTATTAAGTTGTTTTTCCGCCGCGTACTGCAGTGGCCGCATGAGCGTCTGCATTTCTACCATGTACACTTTAAACGGTTCGTGCATCGCCTGTCGTCTTCTGGTAACTTCGTCCTTTAAGTTTTCGAAGTAGTCCCTTGGAAGGAAATACTCCTGAAAACTCTGGACGAATGCTTCCCATCTCGTCCAGTGCTGGTTGTTGGCTACATACCACTTAAGAGCCATTCTCTGAAGTAATTCGGGCATCGCCCTGGGAATTAAATTCAGGTTCAGCCCATATGTATCCGCTGACCATTCGACTTGTTCCAGGAATTCCAGAGGCTTGGTGGTGCCGTCGAAACGAAAATTCCATTCGCGGACTTGTTTCGCTACTCTGGGGTATTCCTGGGACATAGTCGGTGCAGCTTGTTCGTTTATGGACACTCTTCTTTGTGGCTGTGGTGTGGACGCTACCCCCCAAAGGGTATTATTGGCGTCTCGAGTCCGCGCTGCTGTGCTTGTTGCTGGGATGCTCAGCTGGGCGAAATTTATATTCGTCGACTCTCTTGCATCTGCACCATTTTCTAGTTCTCTGGCCGGCGATTGTCTGCCATGAATCGCCGCTAGTTCCTCCAATCTTCTGCTATATGGCAATCTGTTTTCGTGAGTACTCACCCAGTCTCCAAATTGTCTGCGCATAGCATCCAAAGTGCCGGATAACTCCACTTCGAATTCAGCTCCATATTTCAGCACTTCGTCTTTTTTTAAATTGTACACCCACGCGCGAACCATTTTGATTTTATTTTAATATTTAATGTGTGTTTTTAATTTATTGCAACCACCAAAGTTGGGCGCCAGTTGTAACGAACCTATTTGCTAGGTGGTGTTTTAGCTAGGCTAAAACTCAGTCGAGCTGTGGGTTCGAGCAACAAATTTATATTGCGTTTACAACAATTAACAACACAGCATCAATATATTAAACTCACTTTATTTATTTCACTTTTATTGCTTGATATTACCAATCACAGTTGGTCTTCTTATTATTCTTTATCTTATCGCTACTTATTGCTAGCTCCGTAGCGTCTCACCACGCCTCGGTATCCTTGATCAGGTGTGACTCGAGCTCCTGTGCGCCAGAATCTGCCCTAGGCCCTCCGCCACCAGCTATGCAAGCCCAGGTTCTCAGTCTGCCCGCCAGAGACTCCGTACAGCACTTCTGACGTTCACCAGGATTAACGGCTTCCTTGCTTCTCAAGGATTGCGCCGAGTCCTTTTGTGAGTCAGGATCCGCGTGTCTCACTCTCTGGCTAATCACAGACCAAGCCTCGCTTGCTTCACTTGGTTCCTTGCGGATATCGCCTGTTGCCACAATTCAAGCGTGGCAAGGATATACGGCTCGCACCTAATTCCAGGACCTCGATGTCCTGTGATCCTTGTTGAGTTTGACACTCCGTGTCCTTGCACTTTCACTGGTGTTCTGGCTTTCACTCGCACATATATTCGCTCCGTGTATATGCGCGCAGCCTCTCTTGCTTTATTTGTACAGCTTGTTCACTTTTCACTTGTGCGACACTCTCGCGTATTTAATCAAACAGCCCCGCCTTATGCGGCGGCGCTCCTTTTATAGGCCGTGGCTGGCCACCTTTTGCCGGGACTGTACCTCGGTGGCGTGATCTTTGGTGGCGTGATCTTTTGGTGGCGTGATTTTCTGGTACTTTTCCACTGCCCTTTTGCTGGCGCCAGCCATTGTCTGCCGTCAGTGTGAGTATGGACAACAGTATTGTTCTCGCAATACTCTTCCCACACTAACGGCACATGTCCTGATGGACATGTGTGTCAGACACGTTCAAACGGCTGAACGCCCGCGTTAGAAAGGGAGAGGGCGAAAGAGAGCGAATTCGCCGCAACTGCATCAGGGCCGGTTTTCGGTCTGAATGGACAGTTGTTGTGAGGGCGCATATAACATGCTAACGGGCATTTTGTATGCCCATCCGTGAACATACATATATATATATGTTTATAATCACAAACATACACATATATGCATGCTCACAAGTGCATGCTTCTATGGCTCCTCACAACATCCGTTTGAATTTGGAAACAGAAAGTTAAAACGTCAATTTCTCGAAATGACTTCGAGACTAAATATTTTCAGCTTTTGATGCAGAGTCAAAATATATAAAAAGGGCTTCATAATGTTGAAAGAAATTCTAACTTCTGACAATTATTGGCGAAGATACATCCGTTTGAATTTGGAAACAGAAACTTAAAACGTCAATTTCGCGAAATGACTTCGAGACTACATATTTTCAGCTTTTGATGCAGAATCAAAATATATAAAAAGGGCTTCATAATGTTGAAAGAAATTCTAACTTTTGACAATTATTGGCGAATACACAACCGTTTGAATTTGGAAACATAAACTTAAAACGTCAAGTTCTCGAAATGACTTCAAGACTACATATTTTCAGCTTTTGATGCAGAATCAAAATATATAAAAAGGGCTTCATAATGTTGAAAGAAGTTCTAACTTCTGACAATTATTGGCGAAGATACATCCGTTTGAATTTGGAAACAGAAACTTAAAACGTCCATTTCTCGAAATGACTTCGCGACTACATATTTTCAGCTTTTGATGCAGAGTCAAAATATATAAAAAGGGCTTCATAATGTTGAAAGAAATTCTAGCTTCTGACAATTATTGGCGAAGATACATCCGTTTGAATTTGGGAACAGAAACTTAAAACGTCAATTTCTCGAAATGACTTCGAGACTACATATTTTCAGCTTTTGATGCAGAATCAAAATATATAAGAAGGGCTTCATAATGTTGAAAGAAATTCTAACTTCTGACAATTATTGGCGAAGATACATCCGTTTGAATTTGGAAACCGAAACTTAAAACGTCAATTTCTCGAAATGGCTTCGAGACTACATATTTTCCGCTTTTGATGCAGAGTCAAAATATATAAATAGGGCTTCACAATGTTGAAAGAAATTCTAACTTCTGACAATTATTGGCGAAGATACATCTGTTTGAATTTGGAAACAGAAACTTTAAACGTCAATTTCTCGAAATGACTTCGAGACTACATAATTTCAGCTTTTGATGCAGAGTCAAAATATATAAATAGGGCTTCATAATGTTGAAAGAAATTCTAACTTTTGACAATTATTGGCGAATACACAACCGTTTGAATTTGGAAACATAAACTTAAACCGCCCATATCTCGAAATGACTTCGAGACTACATATTTTCAGCTTTTGATGCAGAATCAAAATATATAAAATGGGCTTCATAATGTTGAAAGAAATTCTAACTTTTGACAATTATTGGCGAATACACAACCGTTTGAATTTGGAAACATAAACTTAAGACGTCAAGTTCTCGAAATGACTTCAAGACTACATATTTTCAGCTTTTGATGCAGAATCAAAATATATAAAAAGGGCTTCATAATGTTGAAAGAAATTCTAACTTCTGACAATTATTGGCGAAGATACATCCGTTTGAATTTGGAAACAGAAACTTAAAACGTCCATTTCTCGAAATGACTTCGAGACTACATATTTTCAGCTTTTGATGCAGAGTCAAAATATATAAAAAGGGCTTCATAATGTTGAAAGAAATTCTAGCTTCTGACAATTATTGGCGAAGATACATCCGTTTGAATTTGGGAACAGAAACTTAAAACGTCAATTTCTCGAAATGACTTCGAGACTACATATTTTCAGCTTTTGATGCAGAATCAAAATATATAAAAAGGGCTTCATAATGTTGAAAGCAATTCTAACTTCTGACAATTATTGGCGAAGATACAACCGTTTGAATTTGGAAACAGAAACTTAAAACGTCAATTTCTCGAAATGACTTCGAGACTACATATTTTCCGCTTTTGATGCAGAATCAAAATATATAAATAGGGCTTCATAATGTTGAAAGTAATTCTAACTTTTGTCAATTATTGGCGAATACACAACCGTTTGAATTTGGAAACATAAACTTAAAACGTCAAGTTCTCGAAATGACTTCAAGACTACATATTTTCAGCTTTTGATGCAGAATCAAAATATATAAAAAGGGCTTCACAATGTTGAAAGAAATTCTAACTTCTGACAATTATTGGCGAAGATACATCTGTTTGAATTTGGAAACAGAAACTTTAAACGTCAATTTCTCGAAATGACTTCGAGACTACATATTTTCAGCTTTTGATGCATAGTCAAAATATATAAATAGGGCTTCATAATGTTGAAAGAAATTCTAACTTTTGACAATTATTGGCGAATACACAACCGTTTGAATTTGGAAACATAAACTTAAACCGCCCATATCTCGAAATGACTTCGAGACTACATATTTTCAGCTTTTGATGCAGAATCAAAATATATAAAAAGGGCTTCATAATGTTGAAAGAAATTCTAATTTCTGACAATTATTGGCGAAGATACATCCGTTTGAATTTGGAAACCGAAACTTAAAACGTCAATTTCTCGAAATGACTCCACGACTACATATTTTCAGCTTTTGAAGCAGATTCAAAATATATAAAAAGGGCTTCATAATGTTGAAAGAAATTCTAACTTCTGACAATTATTGGCGAAGATACATCCGTTTGAATTTGGAAACAGAAACTTAAAACGTCAATTTCTCGAAATGACTTCGAGACTACATATTTTCAGCTTTTGATGCAGAATTAAAATATATAAAAAGGGCTTCATAATGTTGAAAGAAATTCTAACTTCTGACAATTATTGGCGAAGATACATCCGTTTGAATTTGGAAACAGAAACTTAAAACGTCAATTTCTCGAAATGACTTCGCGACTACATATTTTCAGCTTTTGATGCATAGTCAAAATATATAAAAAGGGCTTCATAATGTTGAAAGAAATTCTGACTTCTGACAATTATTGGCGAAGATACATCCGTTTGAATTTGGAAACAGAAACTTAAAACGTCAATTTCTCGAAATGACTTCGAGACTACATATTTTCCGCTTTTGATGCAGAGTCAAAATATATAAAAAGGGCTTCATAATGTTGAAAGAAATTCTAACTTTTGATAATTATTGGCGAATATACAACCGTTTGAATTTGGAAACATAAACTTAAAACGTCAAGTTCTCGAAATGACTTCAAGACTACATATTTTCAGCTTTTGATGCAGAATCAAAATATATAAAAAGGGTTTCATAATGTTGAAAGAAATTCTAACTTCTGACAATTATTGGCGAAGATACATCCGTTTGAATTTGGAAACAGAAACTTAAAACGTCCATTTCTCGAAATGACTTCGAGACTACATATTTTCAGCTTTTGATGCAGAGTCAAAATATATAAAAAGGGCTTCATAATGTTGAAAGAAATTCTAACTTCTGACAATTATTGGCGAAGATACATCCGTTTGAATTTGGAAACAGAAACTTAAAACGTCAATTTCTCGAAATGACTTCGAGACTACATATTTTCCGCTTTTGATGCAGAGTCAAAATATATAAAAAGGGCTTCATAATGTTGAAAGAAATTCTAACTTTTGACAATTATTGGCGAATACACAACCGTTTGAATTTGGAAACATAAACTTAAAACGTCAAGTTCTCGAAATGACTTCAAGACTACATATTTTCAGCTTTTGATGCAGAATCAAAATATATAAAAAGGGCTTCATAATGTTGAAAGAAATTCTAACTTCTGACAATTATTGGCGAAGATACATCTGTTTGAATTTGGAAACAGAAACTTAAAACGTCAATTTCTCGAAATGACTTCGAGACTACATATTTTCAGCTT